CTGCGGGGCCAACAACTACACGGACTGGGCCAACATCAAGCAGTTCCAGGCCAACGACACCGTGCCCAGGTCATGCTGCCGCGTCAACACCACCACCTGCAACGTCCACCCCACCCCTGAGACCGTCTATGAGAAGGTGAGACCCCCCTCCCAGACCCCCCTGCCATGCCCCGGGGGGGTCCTGCACCCCCTGAACCCCCCTGTCCCCCCCAGGGCTGCCAGGAGAGCATCGAGGTGTGGCTGAAGAAGAACATCCTGGTCGTGGCTGCGGTGGCTCTGGGCATCGCCTTCTTCGAGGTGGGATGTGGGGCTGAGCCCCCCAAGTGTGGGCTGAGCCCCCCCAGTGTGGGACTGACCCCTTGGTGTGGGGCTGAACCCCTGCAATGTGGGGCTGACAGGGCTGACCCCTCCCAACACCCCGCTGTGGGACTGTCCCCTGACCCCTCTGGAGTGGGACTGACTCCCCCCCCCCAGTGTGGGGCTGATGGGGCTGAAACAACCCCCCCATGTGGGACTGACCCCCCTTTTTCCTCCCCAGATCCTGGGCATCATCTTTGCCTGCTGCCTCATGAGGGGCATCCGCAGCGGCTACGAGGTCATGTAGCCACCCCGACACCCCCAGGGGGGCTCTGGGGTCCTGGGGGGTCCCCCTCAGCTCTGCTGGGGCAGGGTCCACATGCCAGCTCCCCCCGGGGGTCCCTCAGGGCCGGGAGGTGTCCCCGGGTGTGGAAATAAAGAGAAAAAGCTTCTGTAGAGCTGAGTGTGCCCCCCGGGAGTGGGGGGCGTGGGGGTCCCTTGGGGGTGGGACAAGGACCTTCCTGGGTGGGGGCCATGTCAGTGTCCCCAAATCCTCGTGTGCTTCCTCAATGTCCCCAAGTTCCCACGTGTCACTGTGATGTCCCCAGCAATCCCTGAGCAGGCTGGGGTCAGGCTGGGGGGCTTATTCACCACCCTTGGGGGGGGTCTCACAGCTCTTGTGGGGGTCTGGGGGCTCTGTGGCCACCTCAATGTCCCCAACAGTCCCTGAGTGCCACCTCAATGTCCCCAAGTCCCCATGTGTAACCTCAGTGTCCCCAAATTCCCGAGTGCCAACAGCCCCCAGGACCCCCCGAGCAGGGAGGGGTCGGGCCGGGGGGTTTATTCACCACATTTTGGGGGTCTCACCGCCCCCGGGGGGGTCTGGGGGCGGTCTAACGGACACGGTGGGCCGGCTTGGGCAGGATGGTGGCCAGGATCAGGTCCACGATGCAGGAGGGCAGGTAGGAGGCCGGGAGCCAGAGCAGCTTCGCGTCCCAGCCCGCGCTGTAGCGGGTCCGGGGGTGTCGCGCCCCCAGCGCGTGCTCGATGCACCCCGTGACCTTGGTCAGGTCCCCGTCACACATCAGGGTCATGATGAACCTCTGCACCTTCAGGTCTGGGGGGGAAAAGGGGGCATCAGATGGGGGGAAGGGGGTGCAGGGAGGGGGAAACAGGCAGCGGTGACTTTCTGCACCTTGAGGGCAAGGTGAAAGGGGAGAGTGGGGGAACTGAGGCAGAGATGAGCTGTTGCACCTTGAGGTGTCAGGGATACAGGAGAAGTGGGAGTAGGTGAGGGGAAACTGAGGCAGGAGTGAGATGCTGCACCTTGAGGTCTGGGGGGGTGTGAAAAAGGAGGGTCAGGAAAGGGGGAACTGAGGCAGAGATGAGCTGGTGCGCCTGGTGTAGGAGCATGTGGGTGCAAAGGATGCAGGAAAGGGGGTGGTGTGGAAGGGAACTGAGGAAGCTCAGGGGGATGAGGGAAAAGAGGGTTCGGGAGGAGGGAAACTGAGGCAGAGCCCTCCTGCCCACTCACACTTATAGAAGCCCCCCCTCACAGTTTTGGAAGCCCCCCATCCCCTCCCATTTTTGAAAGAAGTCCCCCCTCACCCACATTTTTGGAAGAAGTCCTCCCCGTAGCTCAGCCGTGTCTCGGGTGCCAGGCGCTCCCAGAGCTGCTGCAGCGACGCCTCGAGGACCTCGAGGTT